CCACAAGGGCGACGTGATGACCGTGAAGTGGTCTCTCCACTACGAGTCGATCTTGGCTTCTGGCTCAAAAGACAGGCGCATAAACATCTGGGATTTGAACAAGAGCAACGCAGCCAGTGGAGATGCGTCGAATGAGTTGGTCTTCATTCACGGTGGACACGCTAACACAGTCGCTGACTTCGACTGGAATCCAGCAGAGCCAATTGAGATCGTCTCAGTCTGCGACTCCAATTTCATTCATGTTTGGAAGATCCCAATTGAAGACTACATTTAACCCAATAAATATAACATTATTAAGTCATTAAGTTAATGAGTAGTATTGTAGGTAGAGTGGTAGTTAGTATTGTAGTTAGTTAGCTAATATCATTATTATTGCTACTGCTATTGTTACTACTACCTGTGGTAATTAACTAATGTTAGTGGCAATTCCATTTCTATTCAAATTTGATTCTTCTTCCAACCAGAGTCACCCGTGGCTTCTGGTGGCCTCCATCAATTCGCAAGTGTTCTATTTGTCTGATTAGTTCGTGCAGGAAGATGTCATGGGCCTTGGCCTTGAAGTAGCCGCTGGAGTAGTTGAATGGGTGAGTTATTCGCATTTCCATCTCGTAGTAGTTCATATCAACCACCTTGGTGCAATCCATCTCAATCTTCCTGATGAATCCACAATCAGTTCCAAATTGTGTCATTTTGTGCCTGAGTACGCCCATAATCTGCCTACTCGTGTTATTGGCAACCTTGATTTTGAATAGAAGTGTCTGATGAATAGATTGGTAGATATTCTGCACCGTGGACATGTATATCGCCTTATTTGGAATTGTGATAAACTGCTTATTTGCGTCCTTGAACAGCGTGTAGCACAGGCGCATTTCAACAACTCTCATGGCCTCGTTTTTGATTACGACTTTCTCACCAACTCGAAATGGCATGTGGTAGACCAGGTAGAGGAATGGCATGTAGAAGTACCACAGTGGTGGCACAGTGAAGAGAAGCACCGGAAGAACAGTCGCCTTGGCATTCACGTTCCACGTAAACAGGAGCATAAATATCAGCAGAAATCCAACGCACTTCAGGGAGATGAATATCTTCCTTAGCTCCTCTTGTACGATTTTCTGTCCAGCCTGGGCACTGATGAAGACTCC